AGCATTGGCCCCGGACCCCAGCAAGTCTAATGCCAGCCCTGGTGACCCCATTAAAACGGGGTCATGATCCACTTTGGGGTCCCAACCCATAGTTTGAGAACCACTGAGCTATTGGCCATGGATTTGCTGTGTAGCATAATTAATATATGAATAACTAAAATGGGTTTTAATCTGTATTTTCAGTATAAAGGATGATGGCTCCGGGCATGTCAGTTGAGAGTTTTAATAGAACAAGAAGTTCTGAAATGTCATGCTGTTTATTCCATAGTACAGGAGGTCAGAACCATCCATTAGTATCGTCCTAATACCTCCAGACACATAGGCCTTGCAATGCTGAGCAGACAAATCCCTAAATACATTTAAAATTCTGGGCCAGGAAGACTGAGCAGGAGGGGAAAAGATAGGCGATCCTCTGCATAAAATCAATGGGAATCTTGTTTAAATCTTTTTTTTCCAGCATGAAAGTTACATTTCTGATGTCTGCTAAGAACTTGTCAATTACAGAGATTGGCAAGAAGGATAGAGAGCCCAATTTTTGGTCAACACATTGGGGACCTCCAGAGCTAACAGCATGAGCTGCTATGGAGCTAAAGAGTCAAAGCTCTCTAAGTGGGGATGTCACAGACTCATATCCCCTGTGGATCAGCCCAGAAGAGGACCGGTAACACACATTGTTTCATTGCACTTGCACACCTTAAAGTAACAAATCCTCTAAAGAATGAAACAGTGTCCTGCGAATGGGTAAAACCATTCACTTTCTTTTCATTGCTTTCCTTTTCAGGAAACAAAGGAGCTGTGGGGGATAGTGGGGATCAGGGAATGATTGGAAAAATTGGCCCAATCGGTGGAAAAGGTAATTTATGTGTTTCATGTTACTTTTTTTTTGTGAAGGTACATATTCAATTATGACATGATTTGTATGTTTTTAAGAATTACAGCTATTAAGTACAAATAATTCAGATTTAAATAATGTCTGATTTATGTTCCCCAAATATATTTACACAGGCTAATTGGGGATCATGATACAGTTTGGTGTGTGTATGTTCTAGCTAAGCTAAGAAAGCTGATCTCTTTTGGATTACAAAATAAAAAGCATAGGGTGAAATCCTGGCTCCAATATGGCAAAACTCCCATCGACTGCAATGAGGCCAGGATTTTACCAGGGCCGCCCAGAGGGGGGTGGGCAAGTGGGGCAATTTGCCCCGGGCCCTGCAGGAGCCCCTACGAGAGTTTTCAGGGGCCCCCACGAGAGTTTTTGGCGGGTCTTTGGCGGCAGGTCCTTCAGTGCCGCCGAACACACTCGGATCGAGTGAAGGACCCGCTGCCGAAGACCCGGAGCTTCTTCCGCTCCGGGTCTTCGGCGGCGAGGGCTCCTTCCGCTCCTGGGTTTTGGGTGGCAGTTCGGTGGCGGGTCCTTCACTTGTTCCAGGACCCGCCGCCGAAGTGCCCCAAAGACCCAGAGCTGAAGGACCCCTGCCGCCAAAGACTCCAAGCCCCCTGAATCCTCTGGGCAGCCCTGGATTTTACCCGCTTGCTTTCAAAGCCGAGGATCATAAGTCAATATTCTGCTGCTTATTATTCATGCCAAATGTCTGGACCTGGCTAACCACCTTGGTGTGCAATGGGCCAGCTCCTTGCAGGAGACCTAGATTTGGCAGTGATTTTAGGACTCATGTTCTGACACTAATTACTTATTCTGAGAGCTGTCCCTTATATATCAAGGTAGAATATAACTACACCTGTCTGACCTGTCAGAAGAGGCCCTCAGTTTTCAAACTATACAGATACAATTATAAGTTACTGCATAAATACATCAAATAAACATGCATGTGCCCTCTTTATTCATATTGTTTGGTTTAATTTCCACTTAGGCAGGAGGGAAAGGAACGACACTTTTATTACCCCTGGTTACAGCGGAATGGAAATTTGATACACCTACATGACTGTCTGATGTGCTCTGAGGTTTAATTTTTACTATGGCTTTTAAAAACCCATCATAAAGTGCA